TTTCTCTCTCACCGACAATAGATTACTATTGCAAATAATTTCCCAGAAAAACCTCACAGTCGTCTCCATCGATCGGCTCTCGTCTCCACTGAGATTGATCTGGAAAAATCCACCCATTTCCTAAATTTTCGTCCTTCTTCCCCTCTGTTCTCTTCTCTCGTTTGTTGCCAAAAGACAACCACAACAAAAATTATCCAAAACAATCAGAGAGTCTCCATTTTTAAATCTTGAAAAATCCTGCCTATTTTCCAAAATTTTCAAGAGTTCCCCTTTGTTCCCTTCTCTTGTCTGTTGTCAAAAGACAACCACAGCAAAAATTATCCAAAGGCTTCATTTTTAGATCTAGAAAAATCGAGCCCTTATTTCCCAAAATCTGAGCACTCGTTCCCCTCTGTCCCCTTCTCTCGTCTCCTGCCAAAAGACTTCAAAACTATTGTAAAAATATTTCCCGAAACAACCCAAGAGGCTTCATTGTTCATATCTGGAAAAAATTTTCCCAAAACCATAGTAGATCATTTGCCCTGTTCCCCTTTGTTCCCTTTTTCTTTCAAAGAAGATCTATCACCTTCACGCTCATAACCTATGCCAAGAGGTCTCCATTGTTCTGGTTTGCAGAAAAAATCAGCAGACATTAACCAACAGGGGAAACTTCATAGGAGAGAGAGAACCGTAAGTTCTTGCCTTTTCTTTGTCTTCAAATTTAATGAAATTAACTCCTAGAGAATCAGCTAGCTATTTCATATTTCACCCAATAATATTAGGATTATGAGGTAAAGGATGGCTAGCATAAATTGCCTTAATTTAATAATTGAAAGGATCCCCACTTCAGCATGTAGTTCCGCATTGTAGCTCGTGTTTGAGAGTGAGCGATGCTATAGTATTGTGATTGGTTGATCTATTGAGGTAATATTGTCTTTGCGGAGTCTTATAGAAGTAGCGTATGCGCTTGAATCAGCCTGTCTTTGTATAAACAACTAATCTTCGGAAAAATCTGTTTAATTTAATTTGTGTGCTGCTTCATTAATCCCTTTTTTCTGGTTTGCAGAAAAAAGCAGCAGAAAAGCACCAGCTGGGGAAACACACACAAGAGAGAGAACCGTAAATTTAATCTGACTTATCTCCATATTGAGATTTATTATAATTAGCTCTTAATTTATTTTGTTTTCTGCTTCATGAATTCTGTTTACTGTGATTAATTTTGTGTGCATTGTGCGATGAAATCGGTTTTTTAGTTGGTTGAATGAGGTTTTACACTGCTGCTGCTTCATCAGTTCTTTACAAGTGTTTGTTTATAAATTGTTATAGTGCCATCAGTGGTCTGATTAGCCGAGGGGAAAAGTAATTATGATAATGTGCTTTGCTTGATTCTTTTACTTTATTGAGCGATTAGTTTTTGTCATCATCTATTTTTGGCAAAAATGCTCAGGTAATGCTGAACTTTAGATTTACTTTTCACAACCATTTCCCTATTATGGTGATCAATTATAGTTTACCGCTGCCTTGTAAGCCTGGGTTTTTTTCCCTCCAAAGCCTAACTAATTTTGCTGCCTTCAATTGAAAATTAAAGAATATTTGTTGATGTGCTTCAGTTTATGTTGGTGATAAATGAATCCAATCTCACTTGTTTAAGATAACCATAATAAGATAAAATAGAAGTTTCATTTGTTAATTTATTGAAACTAAAAAATTTCAAACTTCTTCCAAAACATAAAGCTTAAACCGACAGGTATTTCAGCTATAATTTTGACTTGAGCAATTTCAACTAAAGAGAGGAATCACCAACAAGAAGCACGATAAAAAAAGCATTGATTCTTATGCTGTATTGGTAGAATCCTATGTTATATTTGCCCCCAAGTAATTATATCATTATTTTATTTTGTTAAATGCTTTAAAAGATACCATGGAAGGTGTTGAATCTATGAAAGACTGTTTGGTTAAAGGAAATGTTGCATATAGTTTGTGATATATGCATTAAGGCTATTGATACGGGAATGAGATCAAATATTTTGTGATATATGCATTAAGGCTATTGATATGGGAATGAGATCAAATATTTATTTTGATAAAACAGGGTGGAAATTTCTTATAACATCATTCCAAGAACAAACTGGCCATGCATTCACTAAAACACAATTGAAAAACAAATGGGATGAATGCAAAAATGATTGGAGGATCTGTAATAAGCTGGTTTTTGAAACTGGTGTTGACTAGAGTAATGAATTAAAAACAATTTTAACTAGTGATGAGTGGTGGAAAGAAAAAATCCAGGTAAATTCCTCATTATCTTGACGACTTTTTTTATTGTTGTCAAATTTCAAAAAAAAAAATTTCAATACATGATTCTTTATTAATTAATTTTATTTATTATATATAGCAAATTAGAGGAGCAAAAAAAATCAGACATAATAGTATTGAATTGTCTTTGAAGAATAAATATAACAAAATGTATTCTAACATTATTGCAATTAGAGAGTTTGCATGGGCTCTTTTATCAGGAGTACTTGGTGGAAATGATGTCGATCTTAGCACAAGCAATGCCAACATTGATTGTGTTGGTTTTAAAGAAGAAAGTGATGATTACGAGGAGGATGAGATTTCAAATTTCCAAACTGACAAGTTTCAAATGGTTGGAGGGATAAATATATTAAAGCAGCAATAACACAAAGAGCAGTGTCAATAGAAAAGAACGAGATCCTTCTAAGGTCTGAGGTAGAAGGAAGAAAACGTTTGGAATTGGTGTTCAGTTGTTGTTAATGTGCAATCAATTACTTGAGAGTATGTCGACTAAGAGTGATTTTATTTCTTTGAGATGATGGCTGAGCTCTACTCAATTTATGGAGTTTCAATTGAAGATGAGTTTCACGACTTTGCCATGGAGTATTTAAGTTTAAGAAGGAAAAGAGAAATCTAGGCCAGTATGGGTGATAAGTGATTAGTACTTAAAAATATATTTTTATTAAGGTTTTATATCAGTATTTTACACTTGAAGGTTTAATAACTCCTTAACTAAAGTATGTTTTATAATAACAAGTTTGATACTATAAGATATCTTTAATTTATGGTAAATGTTTATTTTAAATGCAGGCTTATCACATAAATCAAATGATTGATTGATGTTGATTGATGAGTTCAACCATTGAAATTGAGAAAACAAAGAGAGGGTGAAGCTTAGAAAAGAGATATTAGTTCAGTACAAATTGGAACACTATTAATTCATTAGGTCATATCTAGAGCTGTAGATCTTGAATTTTAATTTAGTTTATATGGCTAGAAAGCTAAGACATATGCCTAAAATATTTATGGGAATGTAAGACTTAATTTTGTTGTTTGAAAGTCCAAATCTTAGCAACAATAGAGAAGTCAGGATTTATCTTGCGGCTTAGACACTATTTAGTGTTCAACCCATATCTCGAGTTTTAAAAGTCTAAATGACCTTATTTTTTTTGTGGAAAGTTGAGATAATTTTCTAGAACTTCATGATCAAGTTTGTTCAAATTGTAATGTTAGTAATGACGTTTTATTCAGCTAAGAAGATAAGGATTTTCACAAAGTCAAGATGTGACCACCCATTCAACAATTAGTCAATAAATTAATAGTTTTCAGTTTTGGCATATAAAAGGAGATATTTGTCATACATTTAGGCATCTTGGTTTTCAAATCATAATCATGTCCTTGCTCTCTTTCTTTATATTTTTTTTGTAATGCTTAAGTTTTGTTTTTATTAATTTCTTGTTTATGTTTTTCTTTTCCTTACTTAGTTAACTTATATCTTATTTATGTTCTTATCTTGTTTATTTATGTTTATCTTCTTCATTATATTTAGCTAAGTTTATTATGTCAAGGTGAAAAGGTTACACTAATGGTGTAAGAATAAGTGTAAGAGATCCCACATCGGAAGCGAGGGTCTAAAGACAAAGTCTTATAAGTGCATGCTCACCTTGACTAGTAAGACGCGTTTTAGGGCCATGTATGACTGCTAAGAACAAAATCGCGAGGGGGACCTGGGTGGAAGCCTTGGATTTGGGTGGATTGAGAGGCACAAAGCGGACAATATTTTGCTAGTGAGATGGTGTGTTATATTTGATATCAGAGCCAAGAATGACTCATTTTAAGGTGGGGGTATTGTAAGAGATTCTATATCAGAAGCAAGTGTTCAGAGCTAGAGCCTTATAAGTGCATACTTACTTTGACTAGTAAGACGCGTTTTGGGACCATGCATGGTTGCTAAGAACAAAACCGTGAAGGGGACCTGGGTGGAAGCTCTAGATTTGGGTGGATTGGGAAGCCCAAAACGGACAATATTTTGCTAGTAAGGTGGGGTGTTACAATAAGTATAATATAAACTCAACACGAACTTTAATGTTTGATATTAACATGTTTTGTATTTGTTATCTTATTCACTTTTAATATTTTACTTGTTAAATGGTTAATCTAAATTTATATTGTATAACGCTTGGTACAACAAATATTTGGCACAACAAATACTTAACACTTTCATAGCTCAACCGTATAATATAACCTATACCTATGCTATGAAAGGAACTTGATTTATTATTAATATAAGTTATAATCATGAATACTAAACAATATTTACAAGTATTAACATTATTCAAATAAGATAACTAATGTAATGATGTTAACAATTTATAATCTAATTGAAACCTTCTTTGTGTGTGGTTTCCAGTTGAGTAATAAAAAGAGTTTATAATATATTTATTTGAAATACTATTAGTGGATTCTCTAACCTTAATATTTTTTTTATCATTGTTTAATTTTCACATTAATCTTACAATCTCAAAGTCTTATTTAATTTTTTTTTGGTTATTGTTTATAATTTATATAGTTAATTTCCTTGTGGTTCGATCCCGGTCTTGCCAAGTTATTTATTACTTCGATACTCTTACACTTGGGAGAAGACATCAATTTTTTAAGGAGGTAGTTTGATATGAATAAATTAATTATATGCACGGTTGGAGCTATAAACATGTATTATATTAATTATATGCATAAAGAATCATGTATGGTTTCGTACAATACAGGGATGTGTTGGTTGAATGAGGTTTTAAGATATCATTAGAAATAATGTGTTAACATGTTCAGGATGAACTCAACCACTTTGTTAAGTTTGTGCAATGATTTAAAAACACACCATGGCTTAAAACCTTTAAAAAGAATGAACGTTATTGAAAATGTGGCGATGTTTCTATTTACAATAGCAGTTGGGGTGTCAAATAGATAAGTGCAGAAGAGATTTCAACATTCAAGTGAAACTGTTAGTAGATGTTTAAAAGAAGTGCTTAAATCATTATGTTTGCTTACTGTGAAAGTCATAAAACTAGTACATCCACAATTTATGAGCACATCAAGAGAAATTGTAATGAATTCAAGATTTATGTCACATTTCAAAATAAAATGAATTTTTGTTTAATTAAGTTGTTTAAATGAGTATGAAATATTTTATAAATGTTTATGATTACTTAATTTTTTTAAGGCCTATAGAATTATGTCAGTGCAATTGATGGCACACATGTTCATGCATGTATATCATCTGAAAATCAAATTCTATTTATTGGAAGAAAAGGTATACCAACATAAAAGGTCATGGCTGCTTGTAGTTTTCACATACAATTCATGTTTGTGTGGGTAGGATGGGAAGACAATGCACATGATATATATAATTTTCTTGAGGCTATTAACAATAACGATATAAAATTTTCAAAACCACTTGAAAGTTGTAATTTGAAATAAATTGAAGATTTAGTAATTGAAGGCATATAATTTGTTTTTTTAGTTTTATTAAAAATTACCATGTTCTTATTTGCAGGGAAATACTATTTGGTTTATGCTGGATATCTCAATGAGTATAGGTATTCGGGTCTCCACAAAAGTAAGGTATCATTTCCAAGAATTTAGGTGTTGTAGACAACCAAACGGTCGGAAAGAAATGTTTAATCATGTATATTGACACGACCAAAAGATTGATGTCTTCTTCTAAGTACAAGAGTGTCGAAGTAATAAATAATCTGGTAAGATTGGAGTCGAACTACAAGGAGATTAATTGTATAAATTATAAATAACAATAATACAACAAAAATAATAATAGTAATAGTAGTAGTAGTAATAATAATAATAATAATAATAATAGAAGAAGAAGAAGAAGTTGATGAGAAATTTGAGATGGAAAATCAATGTGAGGATTAAACAAAGATAACAACAAATGTCAAGGTTAGAGGATCCACTAATGATATTTCAAACAAGTATAATATAAACTTTTATTATTTAATTGGAAACTACACATAAAAGAGGTTTAAATTGGATTATAAATTGTTAACATGATTGCATTAGTTATATTATTCGAATAATATTAATACTTGTAAATATTATTAGGCATTCATGATTATAACTTATGTTAACAACAAATCAAGTTCTTTTTATAGCACAAATATCGATTATACCATACGATTAGGCTATAAAAGTACCAAGTATTTGTTGTATTAAGTGTTATACAATACAAATCTAGAGTAATTATTTTACAAGCAAAGTATTAAAAGTGAATAAGATAACAAATACAAAATATGTTAGTATTAAACATTAAAGTCTATATTGAGTTTACATTATATTTATTCTTACGTCATTAGTGTAACCTTTGCATCTAAACTTAACTAAAGATAATGAAAGAGAGACATAAATATCCAAGATAAGAACGTAAATAAAATAAAAGCTAACTAAGTAAAGGAAAGGAAATGAAAGGCATAAACAAGATATTAATGAAAGCAAAACTTAAACATTACAAAAATACAAATAGATAAAGCAAGAGTATGATCTTAATTTAGAAACCAAGATGCCTAAATGCATGACAAATGCTTTTTTTTATAGGCTAAAATTAAAAATTATTGATTTGATGACTAATTGATGAGTGAGTGACTAATTTTTGACTTGGTGACAATTTTTATCTTCTTGTCTGCCTAAAACATCATTGATAACGTCAGAATTTAAACCAAACCTCCACATGGAAGTTCTAGGATATTGTCTCATCTTTTTAGGAAAAAAATATTGAGGTCATATGAGCTTCTAGAACTCAAGATATAGGTTGAACACTTAATAGTGTCTGGGCTGCAGGATAGATTCAGACTTCTTAGTTGTTGCTACAATTTAGACTTGAAAATGGTCTTTTTAAATCTTGGACTCCTTATAAAAGTTGTAGGCGTATGTCTTATTTTTCCATCTATATAAAGTAGACTTAAATCCAGGATCTACAGCTCCAGATATGACCTAATTACCGAACAGTGTTGTAGTTTGGACTACACTAGCATCTTTTTTTTAAGTTTAGTCATCTTTTTGTCCTTTCAATTTTAATACTTCAACTCATCAATCAATTCTTTCAATTATATGATAGGCCTGTATTTACTATAAATTAAAGGTATCTTATGGTATCAGACTTGTATTATAAAACATGTTTTAGTTAAGAAGTTATTAATACTTCAAGTACAAAATGATGATATAGAATTTTAATAAAAATACACTTTTAAGTATTAATCACATACTAATCACTACGTAACGTGATAAAGTGTTTTTTTGAGGTATGGAAACAAATGTGAAGAATTTTGCAAAACATGCCTGATTATCTATACAAAACGCAAGTTGAGATTGTAATTGCTTTAATAATACTACATAACTATATTAGAAAGAGATCGAATAATGATGCAGTTTTTTCTAAGTATGATCGTATTCTTAATTTATTTTTCGATGACTTTTTACCTGATATTGTTCCTCACTCGACCATTCAAGGATCATAGAAGCCTTCATGTATGGATTTTGTACATGATAAAATTACAAATAGTTTAATGAAGCAATGAAAAAATAAATTAATGTATAAGGATTTTTCATTTCATTATGTAATCATAATTACAAAACACCTATGTTTTGCAATTATATATATATATATAAAAGTAATTTTACAAACAAACCTTAAATAAAAAGCATATTAATAAAATACAAGAAATTGTTTTTTTTTTCTATCACAATACCAAACACCTCATTTTTTAAAATAAACCTTACAATTCTTTATTAAACTATTTTTTTAAACCATAACTATAAAAACAATCGCAATGCATGGAAAGCAAAATCACCATCGAGTTCTATGCTATACCCTCCACCGTTTATTTATTTCACGTAAGAAAACTCTTGCATGCAGGAAATGCTCAAAAACTGACGAATCCTTTCTCCTTCAAGCTTTCCACGGTTTCCTTGATGCTAGCTTCCAAAGGAATGAATTCAATACCCAAGCTTTTGGCTTTTTCTTTGGAAACTTGATAGATTGGCACACATGGCTTATCATCGGCGCACCTGCCAAAGTTTATCACAAAGGAATTCAATATAACTTTTGAAGAAAAATTGAAGATGATGACAGAGAATTCTCAAAGAGAACAATCTACTCTGTTCAATGATCTTCAAACACTTAAGTTAGTGAAAAAAGTGGCCTTGAATGAACACAGATGAATTTTGGTGTCGAATTATTCCATGAAACAAATTAACTAGAACTAGCTACAACAAATCATCAAAAAGGACTAGCTGATGATTGTACCATTCAAGATGTGACTTTCATCGTGTACTTATATTTCAAGGTCAAACACTTTTCAAAAGAGATGCATGATTGGAAACCAGGCGAAATGTGCACCACTATTACCCAGGCATGGTGTTGCCATCTGCTTTTTAATGCACATTTTGCAATAGAATGCTGGCTACTGAACAGACAAACTTCTACTTCTCCTTGTTTTTTTTTTCTTTAATTGAACGGACTTTTTTATGTGCCTTCTAAACTGGCACAAGAAGGTGAGGTCGGTAATAAGCATCACAAGAATGGGTAGGCACACTGCCACCTTACTAAAATCTGTTGGAATATTGTAATTAATGGGCAACACTTTTGAAGCCTATCCTAAGGAGTAGAGTTACCATTGTCAAAAGGCTACAATGGTAGTTGCACCACCATTGACAAAAATAATGCAACCCATGTGTTGCGCCACCATTAGTGCCACAAATCATGTCATGATTTGTGGATCTTGTCTTCCCATTGATGTCTATAAATAGAGGCATTGTTTGAGAGTAAAATGAGAGAAAGTGGTGAGTGTGTGTAAGAGAATAAGAGAGAAAGAAAGGCTGCCAAGGGCAGCAGCCCTGCTGCAACTGCAGCAATGAGCTGGGAGTTGACTTTGAGTGAGTATAATCCTCCTCCTCCAAGTATTTGTTTTGTATTTTTTCTCTATCTCTAATAATATTGATTCTTCCGTGGAAGTAGGCGATTTACCGAACCACGTTAAATATTGTTTCAATGTGCTTGGCTTTCTATGAACAAATATCAGTACATCATTGGTCGGATTCCCCAACAAAATCTTTGTTTACCAAATGCATATGCCGCCGTGAAAACCACACAAAATAAGGTGACAAAAAGGTAAATGCCGTGAAAGGTATAAACAGGGTAGGGAGAACAAGAGTATTGTGACTGAGATCAGAAATCATCGGAACAAAACAATAAATAGAAAGGGTAAATTATAGTGGGAAAAGACTTACTTTTCCGGGAGTTGGAGATCAGGATAAAGCTCTCGCAGAATCTTCACTACTTCTGAGTGGTGTGCCACTCTCTCAACCAAACAATATCTCCCACTAGCTGATGACAGCTCAAATGCTTGTATGTGTGCATTGGCAACATCTTTAACATTTATCCATCCAAAAGATGCATTGGGGAAAGTTTGTGCTCCTGCATTCAACACAGAGGTAAGAAAAGAGCCACATGCTTTAAGGAAAGAATATTATCAAACAAAGAGTTGGCTACATTACTCTTCTACGTTAATAAAGTAACAACTATTAATATTTGGGTTTCTCTTCTTCAAAACAGTATTTTTAACTTGGTAAAAAGCGTGTAACGGATAGCCAGCCAGTGTTGTTGTCCAGTAGCATGGGAGATTTAACAATTCTAACAAACAAACATAAAATGAGTGCTTTTAATTTGCAATTTACGTCACTTATGCAAGTTCTCTACAGAATTTTATGCGCTTCTAATTTGTTCTATGCAAGAGTGATTTGTTGAGATGAAATATATGCTACTGGTTACGTACAGGATGAAAAGATTAGTCTAGTTAGCATAAAGAAGTACCTTTTATTAGGCTTAAAATTGCTGCAGTACTTGTATTAAGTGTTGGCTGCAAGAGAGGACCAATAACCATTGATGGATTTATTGCAACCATGTCCATACCCTTTTCTTTTGCAAATTGCCATGCAGCATCCTCAGCCAATGTCTTTGAAAGCACGTACCAAAGCTAAAAACATACAGGGAATAAGGGGTTGGAGACAAAATACTGCAGATCTTAGCACAGCCCATTGTCAAATGCACATGGTAGAAACATTTCGTTATCATTACTTACACATCATCAAAAGGCAGCAGACAGAATTGTGTTTAATGGAATGGCCTAGAATGAGAGAAACCGCACATTGAACATAACTATGAGAGATAAGTTCGAATTGATCATGAGAAAAAATATTACTGATGTTTAATTCTCAGGAGCTACATCACAAGGATGGCTATCGTGTCTCTTTGTTTATTCACTAATATATTACTGATTTGGTAGGAGAAAATGAAACTTCATTCAGAAGATTTTATAGAAGCAAAGGAGCAGTAGCTTACAGTGAAAGTTTTGAAGTCAATAGCAGAAGTAATGAAAAATAGATTCTTAATACCATTTAGAAACACTTCATCTTCAAAAAGAATTTTCATATCTGATGTGAGAACGGGGAAAAAAATTACATCCTTATATCTTTCTATCACTATTTTCTCTGACTTTCTACAAATGATAATTTATTATTCAGCTAAACCTCCAACTTTCTTAGAGCAATGTCCAAACAAACATAAAAACAAAGAAAGAAACATCATAAGCAGAAGTTACGCCTAGCATAAAATGACAAAATTGCAAGCAATGTAGTTGTGCCGCCACCACCATCTGGCTCAATCAGCAAAACCATATCCCAGAGTACACTCAGTTTCAGAACAGAATTAAAATGGATAAAAGTGAACTGTGTGATTTGATTTCCATTTCCAAAGCAATGAAGAATGAAACAACTCGACACTAAAAGTGAACAAGATTTGAAAAATATAATTTCATAAGTGAGATAACTTAATTTTCCTGAAGATCCAGAAAGTATCGGCACGTGCACACACCTTAGATTCTCTACACAGTTCCGGATCCGAAAACCAAGTTTCATCCACTACTACATCTGGAGTCCGAGGTTTCCCATTGTAAGCAACTGCAGCCATAGAAGATGTTAACACAACTCGTTTGATTGATGGGTGTTTTGCACATGAGCCAAGGACATTGAGTGTTCCTTTCACTGCAGGATCAAGCAACTCTGCCTGAAATGAGAAGAAAATTGATTACAACCATTTGAAGACAAATCAAAACAAATCCAGACCTCAACATCTAAAAGTTCATCTAAACATGACCCTAAGAACAAAAGACAGAATTTATTTTTTCAGACTGTAAATCAGCATAAACTGAAAGAAATAAGTTCCCATGCTGCACTCTAATAGCATAGTTCAAGAATCAGTGAAGGCAAATAGCATTTACATAGGCCAAACCTTTTTTTAACCTTTACAGGAAAGCTTCAAGTCACAGCCCAATACAACTGACCTGGGAGCATTTGTGTAAGATATATTCGAAAACTATATTGCTCGATGCTGGATACCTTCCTAAGAAAAGGTGTTCTTTGATAACATATATATATAGGTCTCAAAGAACTGCTGCATCTTATACATAGCCTGACTTTCATGTACCTCAACAATGAAGGATATCAAACAATATCACATCCTACTCATAGCCATGAGCTCTTGTGACAGCATCTTAATTAGCAGGAAGTAAATCTGTTCACAGTGCCCTTCTATTCCTGACAGTGAATCAATAAAATAATGAATCTACCATGTACTGCTGTTAATTTTGGATTCAAGTGCACTATGGAAGACTGATCCATAATGTTTTGTTCTTTAAATCCATTTCAATATTAATAATTTAATATTTCAAAGTATTCGGCATTTAGACAGCATCCAGGGTGTAATATTTCAGCACCCTGATGCATATGAATATCACAATGATTGTGAGAAAGATACATTCTATTTTGGGGCACTATTTAAGTTTCTACCTGATTTTCATAAATAATGAAGTCTCATGTACATAAGAAAAACTGCAGTTATTTAAGAGTGGGTATGCAGGATTAACCTGTGGGTCCTTGACATCATAATAACAAGGAGATGCAGTGTGGAAAACACCTTCACACCCTTCAACAATAGAATCAAAGGAACCTTCTTCCAATAAATTTGCTTTGACCAGCTCAAGTCTCTTCTGAGCTCCACAGAGTGCACGCAAGTGTTGTGTCTTTTTGGGATCATCTGTGGAATATAAATTGACAACAACCAGTAAATCACTGAAATTGCAAGTAGTTTTTGGTAAATATAAATTGTGATGGGCAAACTTAAAAATTGTAACAAGTAAACTATTTCCCCTAAGTCAACCTCACAGGAAAAAACACAAGTAAGATCATTCTGTCATGATGAACAGAGCATGCCCGAACTATATAGTCAATAACATTATATTTCTCCAAAGCACACTAAAATAGATTACTTTCAGTTTTAGTGTAATATAATGCATGATGAAGCAGCGTTATTTTTTAGTAAGAGCATTTTGCTTAAGGACTTTCATGGTTCAGTTCAAGAGAAAACAAGTAACGCATACTAGCATTTCTGTTCATACACCTTTCATTATCACTACTACATGGTTACAAAATGACATAAAACGACCAATTTTTTACAATGCCGCTTTACTGCAGTATGGCCACTGAAATCAGGTAACAAAATGGATTGACACGAATTTCAGGAGTTAGAATACCATGAGGAATGATAAACCTGAGAGACCAGAAATCACAAGACTAGGTGATCCAAAAGTCTGGATTTATATGGCGTCACTGCAGGATGACCACTTAAATCAGGCAAAAAGATGGTTGACATAAATTTCAAGAGCTAAAATACCATGAGGAATGGTAAACCTGAGAGACTCAAGAAATCACAAAACAGGTGATCCAAAAGTCTGAATTTATGTAGAATCACGGTTCAAATTAGATTAAAAAAAAAAAAGAATTTTTTGTTTTAAAAAAAGATAAATCGACAAAGAAGACAAGCCAGAAACACTACCGGAACTTTACTTAAAGCAGGTATCTTTCCCCGTACAAGAAGGGGAATTGTGCGCTTAAACATGAAAGAAATGGTTCTAACTCAATTGGGTGAGAGAGAGGCTTAACCCAATTTCATACCCCAGCCATTTAAACACAAAAAAGGAAAAGATTTTTGAAATATTCCCCCATTTGATATCCCATTACTTAACCATAATTTTCAAATACTTTTCCATGTTTTGGTACAAAAATAAGAAACAAATTTGGGATAGTGAGAGAGTGGTTAGACATTTTTGGAATGCCAATATCCCCTCGGATTGTTTAATGCCAAAACAATCTGACATCTGCAACAACAGCAACAGAACATACCTTTGAATTTATCATTACATTAACTCAATTAAAAGGCAATCTTTTTCTCATTGCTAAACATTTCATGTTTTCAGTTAACGTCAAAATACCATTATCATCATCGCTTACTGCGATTCATGATTTTAATATTTACTAACCTTAGCGAAATAAGAACTTCCAAATTACTACTTGTAATTCTCAATCTACAACAAGCTTATATATATTCAAGAGGGTGGATTTTGTTGGAGGCAGAAGAAGCTTGTTGTAGATTGCATTTTCTTTAAAATTCATTCCGATCACCAAAAAAAAAAAAAAAAAAACAGAATTCCAATCTTTAGTCCCTGAAAATCCATGATTAACCGCAAAGCAATGATCTAATCACTCCCATCAAAGAACCAAATTACCATTATTTAAAAATGAGTATCTCTTGATTCTTGCAATTAAATAACATAATGATCCATATCTTATATCAAAAGCAACAAAAAAAATAAGAAAAAAAGAAAGAAGCCGTGCAAGGGAAAAGGATGATAGAGGGAGCGAGTGACTCACTTGGGTCACGAACAGAGGCCTTGACAGTGTAACCACGTGAGAGGAGGAGCTTGACTATCCATGAAGCTATATAACCCGAGGCTCCAGTCACGCACACAATCTTTCCAGCTCCAGAGCTCATTATCGCTCTCACTCTCTGTTTTTTTTTCCCTGATGCTCTCTGTCTACGTGAAGTAAAATATTTATAGTTTGTTCGATCTAATCTGATATTGCGTGAGCGTCTGTCAGTCTGTCCTATCTGCCTTATTCAAATTTGGTATTCATATTATTTGTTATAACCTAATTTTTAAATAAATATTAAAAAAATAAATTTAGTTGAGAATTGAGTTAAGATAGCATAAATTTAAAGTTAATGGTTGAAATTTTTAAAATTTAAGAGTTAATTAATTAAAAATTGAAGAATTAATAAGTTTGAAAATTTAATTAAAATTAGAATTATTTTAATTAATAAAATCAAGAGTTTAATTGAAGAATTAATGAGTTTGAGGACTTAATTAAACTTTGATTTAATTAATTAAAGGAATTAGAGATTTAATTGAAAAAATACCAAACTTTGGAGTTGATTCAAGAAAAATTACTAGGAAACTAAAGTTTAAAAAAACCAAATTGAATAATCCAGAAACTCAGGATTGTTATGTAAATGATGCTATAACTCAGGGATTCAAATTGAATTTAATCCAATGGCACAATTAGAAATTAATTATTATTGATTAAGATCCCAATTAGGGACAAAGTGAAAAATAGTCATTCCGAAGGACACAAACGACGCCGTTTGGAAGCACTGTTCATCATCCCTTTCGATTCGCACGGAGAAAGCTGATTCAACAGGAAATCTGCAGCAAATCATGGACCACGTCTCCTGCCCATGATCCCGTTCGTGATTTGAATAACAGTCCTGCAAAGACAGGACTGAATTTGAGGCTCTCTGGCTCTATAAAAGGCAGAGCAGAACAGAGCAATGGAGGGAGAAAAACTCAAGTAAAACCCAGAAAACAGAGAAGGACGAACAGGCCAAGAACCAGGGAAGAAAACAGAAGCAGAAAGAGAGGAACACAAGCAAAAACAAGGAAGAAAAACCCAGAAAAACAGGGAAAACCAGAGCAAAAAACAGAGGCAGAACCAGAGCAAAAACAAAGCAAAAAACCCAGAGAAAGAAATAATACACAGAGAGAAGGAGAGTAAAGGAAACCAGCATACACAGAGAATTTTCCCTGCCATTGCCTTCATCTCTGCAGACATCCCTGCACAAAAAGAAAAACAGAAAAAACGCAAGCAAGAACCACAAAAAAAAGAGAGGAAAAACCCAGAAAATAGAAAGAGAGAAAGACATACATTATAGAGAAAGAGAGATAGATACAAAAACAAAGAAAAAGAAAGACAAAAAGAAAGGCAAGGGAAGACAAAGAGGAAAACAAGAAGAAGCAGAGGAGAGAGTGTCTGTTCGATCATCAATGTCACGTCTTCATCGCCATCGTCTTCGTCTCCAACAGTTACTGGTAATCCCTTACTGACAATTTTAATTCACCAACACTGTGCATTAGAGATTTAATTGCATGGTGGTTGTAGCAAGCGTGCGTGAACAATTCACGCATGACTGCGGGTAAAAAATGTCTGGTCACTGGCTAGGCCAGTGACCGGGCCGGGCTAGCTGGGCCTAGCCCGGTCGAACCTCAAAAAAAAACAAAAAAAACAAAAATGTGTGTAAGTATAAATAAAAAAAAATAAATATAAATTTATTATTTTTATTCATTAACACTAGAGTCAAAATAAAAATACTGATTTAAATTTATTTTATTGTATTTTATTTAGTTATATAAAAATAAAAAATATGCATGCAAAAATAAAATAAAATAAATTTATTGGTTTATTCACTGACGCCAAAGTCAGGAATAAAAATACTGATGTAAACTTATTTTATTTTATTATATTTTACTTTTATTTAGTTACATAAAAAATATGTATGCGTAAAAAATAAATTTATTTGATTTGTTTATTCATTGACGCTAAAGTCAGAAATAAAAAAATTCTAATTTAAATTTATTTTGTTTTTTGTGTGATGCGTAAAAATAAATTTATTTGATTTGTTTATTTATTGACGCCAGAGTCAGGAATAAAAAAAAAGTAATTTAAATTTATTTTGTTTTTATAACTACGTGATATTTACCAACGCTAGAGTTGGAAATATCCGTAGTTAAATATTCATTGACGCCAGAGTCAGGAATATTACATGCAAAAGCACCATAGTATAAACCAACAAAACATTAGCAATTTATGACAAAGTTAACAATGCAACCTGCCTTAGGCCGGACGCTTAAGGGGTGATAATATCTTCCCTTTGCGTAACCAGTCTCGTATCATAAAATCTCTGTTGACCAGTTAAGGTTCCTCGTGACCATAATAATAGGTGGCGACTCATTAAACAAGACCATTCACCATCAAAGAATATGATACCAGAAATCCATTCTTTCCATGAAATAAAATTGTTAAGGCCACTGCGATGTTGGGTGCGACAGAATAGTGACTCCATTGGGGACTAATGGATTAAGCTTTGCCTTTTGTTTATTATTGCTATTTTGTTTGTTGTGTTTATTTGTTTATTTTTCCTGCATTTACTGCTTTAGCATGCATCCTTGTTTATGTTGACATATATCACTTTAAGAGCACACACTTTACAACCTAAAATAAGTGCGGGAGTAATGGTACCCTAACGGCTTTAACCTGGGTAAAACTTGTGAAACTATCCAATTTTCGTTTGATTGTTTACTTGGAAGTAGTTGATATGCCAAACTGATATTACTTAGGGCCTTTATTTTCACACTACTTGTAAGCCTCATATCGACCTTTTGAGGACGATCACTAAGCATGCGAGAGACCCTCTGAAACTAGATATTGACAAACCCATTGATGCACTTAATAATTAAGATCTTCCTATTAGGTTGTCATCCCATAAAGGGTTAGTCCGCATTTCATATGTATTTTTTTAATTGAATCAACATTTTTGCATAATTGTATGATTTACATTTAGCAGGTTAAAATATAGGTTCCCCATTAAAACCCACCTATAACACTCGTTCGAGAAAAAGACAAATGAAAAATGAAGAAAGAGCCTAGTTGGAAGCTCAACACCAAAAGGAGGTGGACAATCTTAGAGAAGAAGTCGCAAAGCTTACTAGTCTACTTGAACAGGCCTTGAGAGACAAATTTGGAAAAGCAACACATATAACTTAGCCTGAACCTATGCCCATAAATCCCTTCAATCTATAGAATCTGGGGGCAAACGGTTTGTCATCTAATTTTTAACAAGCCATGCATTTCCAACCAGCATACCCCACGAGAACTCCTTTAACCATTAATTCTATAAAGAAGGAATCTCAAAAGGGCAAGATAGTAAAAGAAGATGGTCTGAACAAATTGGTTGCCCTAGAGTAAAGGATGAAAGAATTTAAGGCAATTCACCTATATGATCCTATAAAGGCTGCTGAGATGTGTTTGGTGCCAATGTTGTCATTCCTAAAAAGTTTAAAGTGCCAGAATTTGTTAAATATTCAGGAACTCAATGCCCTATAACTCATCTCAAAGCATGTTGCAACAAAATGGCTGAGGTGGTTGATGATGAGAAACTGCTGATTCATTTCTTTCAAGACAGATTGAGTGACACTACCCTCACTTGGTATATACGGTTGAACAATACTAAGGTAAAAAATTGAAGGATTTAGTTGATGCCTTCATGAGGTAATATAAGTTCAATATAGACGTGGGCCCTGATCGGTTAAACTTGCAAGCTATGGAGAAGGACAACAAAGAGTCCATAAGGGAATATGCTAAACGATTGAGTGAGGTAATGCACAAGTTAACCCTCCCATGTTGGAAAAAAAGATGATCAGTTTATTTTCCAACACCTTTAAAGCTTTGTACTTTGAATACTTGGTTAGAAGCTTTGTACAATATTTCATTGACCTAGTTGTTATAGCTGAGAGGATTGAACAAGCCATTGAGTTAGGTAAGATTGCTAACCCGATCGAGAAGAACGGTTTCACTAAAGGTGGTTTTCAAGGCACTTATCGTTCCTATAGCTAATTGCTTCACACCGACTCCTAGAAATCAACTATCTTGAAGATAAAGCTATAATGATATTAGGTCGAGAATGATCTACATATGATTTCAATTGACTATTGAAAAGATGTCCTTGTCGAGGAGAATGAATGATTGAAAGATTCCAGAAATTCCAATAAATGATCGCTAAATGTTTAGCCCCTTTATGTGTTATCATTCTAGTGTTCATAGCCCAAGATGTTGGCATAAGTTCTTTATTGTTAAAATTCTTTTCCAAAGTTTCAATAAAATAATAAGTTTGTCATTCAATCATGTTTACGACCAAGCATTATTCTTAAGAGAGTTTTCTTATAAGAACTTATAAATACACTTTGGAAGCCTCGCGTGATCTCATAGACGCAATTCATCTCTTTTACCAAAATCAGTTTCCCTATTGGAGTTTTGAAAAATTGATCTGGCATTTTGATTTCAAAAATAATTTGATGTTTATTCAAAAATGATATTTTTGACATTCTACAGTAGAATGACAAGTGAATGAAGCAACTCCTTTATAAAGGTGACCAAACTCTAAAAAGAAAAAGAAAAATGAAATGAATAAATACCCTTACCTCATAACTCTTGAATCATGTGTTTTTAAATGTATGAATAATGGTATATAGTGAACTCATTGCTCATGACTCATAAAATGCATCTTTGTAAAGACCAAACCATCATACTAGATGAGGTCAGAGTTTATTGATCTTAACTACTTGCGCTTGAAATGAGGAAAGACCATCTTTGTTATTCATTTCACGTTCTGAAATAAATACATTCGTTGCGATCCTTTTCTTGAACCTAAATAATTTTCTCTTTCATAAAAAATCTCGACTAGGATTACACCCCACACTAGGGCAAGAGAAAATTTCAATAAGAAAAGAGAAAAGGATACAAGAAAGCCAAAAAGGCATAAGAGTTCAAGAAACTCAAATGCTAGGGGGCATGCTCAAATCACTACAAAAAGTGACATCCAAGATAAAATGAGTATATCCTAGCAAAGCAATAAAAAAATAAGAAGTAGCAAATCAAAGAAGAGCGGCAAAAGAAAATATGAATGACAAACTGTTGATAGTGATCCTTAGTCTTTGAAACCTTGAAACACTCTTTGAGCCTTATGAATCATTTTCTTTCATAGCC